AGTTCCTCATCTGTAAAATGAGCTATAGAAAGAAATGTCAAACCACTCCAATATCTCTGCCAAGAAAACCCCAAATGGAGTTGGACATTTTACAGTTGAAGAGATTGAGTCAAACAGACGTTAAGTGACTTGCTCAGGGTCATACAACTATTAAGTGTCTAAAGTTGGATTTGTATTGAGGTCTTCCTAATTGAAGACCCAGCACTCTATCCACTGCACCACCCAGTTAAAAGTCCACTAAAATCCCCAGACTTTTTTTTTTCAGATGAACTACTATTTAATCATGCCTCTTGCAATTAGATGCCTGAATTTAGGGCTAGGTAGGGAAGGAAACTGGAGATGCTGAGCCCCTATGAGACACAAGGAAGAAGACCAGGAGAAGAGGGTTCTTGAAATCAGAACCCTGATCTACCAATAAGCTAAGAGCTATGAGGCTTTTTTGTGAAATATGTTGGCAATGACAAATGCTGGCTACCGTAATAGGCAAAAACAAAACAATCTCTTTCCTCAAAGACCTCATGTTCCTCTTGAAGGATACAGTATGTACACATGTAATGGATTTTTTTTTAACTTCTTTCCTCAATTCTTCATGCCAGAGAAGTGCAGCTTCCATATCCCACCTTTCCTAACCTAGATGTGGTGAGATGCAGCATATATATTATTATGCTGTAAGAAACTATGAATGTGAAGTGTACAAAGAAATGAGGGAAGATTTATTTGAATTGATGCAAAGTGAAGCAAGCAGAACCACAAAAAAAATACAGGACTAAAACATTGTAAATAGAAACAACAACAACAAAACAATCAAAACTGAATGCTGTTAAATTATGACCAAACCAGGCTCCCCCCAAAAACTATGAGAAGTTATCTCTTCCCATTTTTTTTTTTTTTGCAGATGTGGATGACTATGAGTGTGGATCACTGTATATGTAAGATGTGTTGTTTAGTTTTACTAAACTGTTTTCTTTTTCTCTTTTTCTCTTGCTCTTTGTTTTAAGGGATGGCTCTCTGGAAAGGGTAAGAGAGGGACAGATTAGAAAAAACAGAAGTAGGGGAAGGTAGGGAGGGAAAGAATTTAGAATTCAAAATTTTTAAAAAATGTTAAAATTTTTTACATGTAATTGGAAAAAAATTAAAAATAAAGATACAGAAGTAAAACAAAAAGTACCAATAAAATGTTTTTAAAATTAAAAATAAAGAAAATGTTTTGATGCTCGAGAAGGTTAGCTTACACTAGAGAAAAAAATTGAGATTAAAAATATTCAGACTGAAATAATATCATGTAAAGAATAATTGAAAGAGCTAGGTGTTTAGTTTGGAGAAAAAAAAGATTAAGGGGAGAAGAAATCATGATAGCTATCTTCAAAAATCCAAAAGATTATCAAGAAGAAGAAGATATTCTAGATAGTTCCAGAAGGCTGAACCAGATACAATAGGTAGATTACCAGGAGGCCTATTTGGGCTTAATATTAAAGGAAAAACTTTCTAATAATTTTGGCTGCTCAAAAATAGAATGTACCTACTTGTGAGATAGTGAATTATCTATAAGAGAATGCACTAGAATAGTGTACAACTCTGATCAATCAGGTGCTGCTTGAATGCTTTAGAAAAGATTACTGAGATAGAGAGATGGTTGGATACGGTGTCAAACTCAAACAGAAACTGGGGCTATCAACCTATTAATTGTTAATTAATTTATTAATATAATTTATTAATCTATTAACCTGTACATAAAGATCCCTAAAGGCTTCATATTAACTAAGAAAACCACATATTAACATTATCTATGTTTTATTGTATTTTTATTTCTTTTGTTAAATATTTCCCAATTATATTTTAATCTGGTTCAGGCCATACTTGGGAGTGTTGCAGGCCACAATACTGTCAAAGGACACTATATTTGAACCCTGTCAACCAAGGGACCTATAAAGTCCATTTTTATTCAATGAATTTATGATCTTATTGACAAATAATTAGCCCAAGCAACCTAAATGTAAGAGATATCATAAATATTTCCTTTGCTAATTGTTCTTCCCTTCTTTGGACTACAACCAGTGACCTATGCATAAACATTCATATATATGTAGATATTTGTACACTGAAACAAAACCCTGATTATCTAGCAGCCAGAAATCTATCTAAGGAAACAGACTTAGGTTAGTTTAAGGTTCCTTTGAATTAGAAAATTCCATGATTTTAAGTTTCTGGTACATTGGTAAACATGGAAATCAAAGAAGACTTAAAAAGCTCACAATATTGGCAACACGACTCACCTTCTTTTAGAGCTCAAAAGGAAAATAGCTGAAGGTAACAAGCAGGGTGAGTGGTCACTGATTCCAAAATAGGAGAAAATGTCTTGAATATTGCTGAAAAGTTATGCTGATAATCATAATTAATAATAGCTAGCATTTATAAGCAGCACTTTAAAGCTTGTAAGCTGCTTTACAAATATTATCTCATTTTATTCTCTAAAGAGCCTTGAGAAGTAGGTGCTATTATTTCCCCCATGTTATGTTTTGGATGAGGATACTGAGGCAGACAGCAGCCAAGTGACTTGCTCAAGGTCACAAGTGTCTGAGGCCTGATTTGGGCTCATGTCTTTCTGATTCCATGTCCAATGCTCTATCCATTGTGCCACCTAGCTACAAATAGCTGTCATTTACATTATGTTTAAAGGTTTATAAAGCACTTGACATGTATTTTTTCATTTAATACTTGCATGGCATGCTGTGGGTCACACAGTCAATATGTGGCAGAAATGGGACTTGAACTCAGATCTTCCTAACCCCTAGGTCAACTCTTATCCACATTGCTTCTCACATTAAAGTGAGATAAAGAAAGTGAAGATGATTTTATTGAAAGAAGACAATTAAGGAGTCTAAATTGACCTGTTTCTATGACAGCATTGTCTTAATTACATAGGCAGTGGTCAAATTAACCTCTTACTAAACATAATTTTCCTATGAGCAAAGACAAGGAAGTGGATTGAAAAAAAATCAGAATTTCCCAGCAAGGCAGCCTCATCTCTTTGCAAGATACTATTGGGAGAAAAGGACAGGAAGGGAAGGAGGTGAAGCCCACCCACACATTACTTAATCTAGCTATAAGTTAAATCCCAGAGATAGACTATGTCCTAGACTATTCTAAAAGCCCCCATTAGAAGATTATTCAAGGTCAAAAAATATTAATTAAATTCCACCATTTTTATTCTTACATGGAAATAAAAATGGAGGGAGGTAGGGTAGAAATCACTAATCACTATGCAATCATAAAAATAGAGCCTACTTTAAAGTATGGACTTTTTTAAAGTCTTAAACAGGTTATTCAGGTTAATCTCCTTCCCTCAGCAAGGATCCTCCCCTGTTTTAAATGTAATTGTTATTATATTTAGTGAATGTACCCGTATTAATTAACATGTTGGGAAACTGCCAATTTACACATTTTAAGGTGACCTGCTATCATGAATGTGTGAGAACAAGCTTTGAGCACAATTAATAAATGATATTGATGGTACCAGGGAAAGTCCACTTCAAATGCACATACAATCTTCATATTTAAAGAAATTTAAATTGCATTTTTTCCTTTGATTTATTTGAAACAAATGTTTATGTATAAATCATGAATATTTAAATAACAAGCTCATCTTTTTTAAGTTCACACACAATTACAGATGTTACATTTCACGTGGATGTTATATTATTTTAAATTCTAAATGGGAATATACTAAACTGTAGCAATTTTTATGAATGTATGGTCACTTTCATAGAGTTATGAGTTGGCAATGGTGAATGTTTAAAACAGCTCTCACCCCAGGAAGTCCTGGGATGCTGTATTTGTATGCTCCTTTTTCTAAATGCATATTCAATGTCTCCTCAGGTTTTATCTGAATTGATACTTTCAATGTGCTTAGCATCTTTAAATCAAAACACAAGTTTAAAATAATAATCACTAAGAATGGTTCTGGATTCTTGTTGTACATCTCCAGTATCTCCTCTGGCTGTGGTCTTCTATACAACAGGTTGTAAATATTTTCAGCAATTATGCATTCCACATTCAAAGCAATAAGGATAACAATAAACGCCTTTCCCTTTAACAGCAATAACAAAACCCTTTCTATTGTTCTTGTTTGTATATATGAATAAATGTGTTGATAGAGGTTTGTATGTCTGAATGTATATCTGTTGTCAGAGGTTACTATTTTTATAGTAAAATATGTATTTGAAAATACATATTTGGTGGCTTCAATTATTTTTGTGGCTAACACTATAACTTTCTTGTTCTTGTTCATAAATTTTTATTCTTCACAAAACGACTATGTTGTAGAACCATCAGTGGTTAAAAAATGAACAAGTGATAATTACACATAAGTACTCATACCATCATTTTCCTTCCTTACCATTAAGAGAATTACAAACTCACAGAAAGAATGGTGACTTTCATCTTTTCAGATTAACGTGCCAGTTAGTTAAGGAAGTTCAAAAGGAGAGAAGTGAAAATCTTAAAAATCCTTAAACTACAGTCTGGGCTAAGCTAATGCAGTGAAGTTAATAGGCGACAAAGTGATGGCTTGGATGGATCCTTGATCGCATCGGTGTGAAAGCTTCCTACACCAATATAGATCACAGCGGCTTCCCGACTTCTCAGCCAGTGTGACAAGATTAGACAAAGTAAAACTAGGCAAGAGCATTTCAAATGAAAAACCAGTCTAAAGAAAATTAATTCCATGAGGCTGGGCAGCCCGCTGAGAGCACTTTCCATTCCTGGGCTCCACCCCACTCCCAAACAATTATTTTCTCTGCAGCAATCAGCGCTTCCACTCAGAATTGATAACTGCAAGGTACCAGAACAACCACAAAAAACCCACAGCACCTGCTCCCATCTCCTCCTAGGCTTACACTCCATTTAGCTGTTCTGCATGTCTTTGAAATAGCCCTCCAACATCAGTGCTCCAAGTCTTCATTACTTCGTCAGCACCCATTGGGGAGGTTCAGATACCGTACCTGGACATCGGCGCTGCTCAGTCAGAAGATACTCCTCCTTGTCGGACTCCCAGGCCTGGAAGCGTCATTCATCGCAGCATCTGCTCCTCTCCTTCCCCGTCATCATCTCCTTGTACAACCTCGCACACAGATTCCGTCAAGAATTCGAAGTTAGCAACCCATCAGTGCGAAGCGCTTCATTCCTCTTCCCCACCGTTCCCTCTGGACTGAAGGCTGTTGCAAAGCAGCTTCAGGTTCCCAGGGTAGTTTTCCTGCGGTGCTGAGGCAGCGGCGGCTGCTCTCTTTGCCTCAGGCAGAGGGAGCAGGAGCAGCCGCGACGGTGGCGGCAGCAGTTGCAGCACGGGCACCGCCCGCCTACCCCAGCGCTGGCCACACCAGCTTGGACAACTGGGGGGAGCTCAGGCGCGCTGAAGGATGTGGCTCGCCCCCTGGGCCCCTTGGCCGCGGAAGCTTTGGCAGGTGCCGGTCTGCGCGCGCGTGATGCAGCCTGGACCACTGTTACCAGGACAACGCGCACGCCGCGCCTCTCCCTCCTCCCTCCCTCCCCCTTAAGCACACGCCCAGTCATAGATGCACTGTCTCAAACCCCAGAAAAACGGATGCAACACACCTGAAGGCGTGCACTGTCCTGCACAATAGCTGCTATCATCTCCAGCTCTGGTAGAAATCATCAACCATCAAACCAATACTATAATTGCTTCTGGAAAAGGTGTTTCTGATGAAAAATGCTATCCAGCTCCAGAAAGAGAACTGATGAACTCTGAATGCAGACTGAAGTACATTTTTCTCACTTTATTTTTCTTGCAGTGTGTGTGTGTGTGTGAGATGGCTAATATGAAAATACATTTTGCCTGATTTTCTATGTACAGTTGACATATTGCTTGCCTTCTTAGTGGGTGAGGAAAGGGTTACATTACAGGGAGGAAGAGAATTTGGAACTCAAATTTTTACAAAACTGTTAAAAATAAATAATAATTTTTATTTTTTATTAATTTATTTTAATTTATCAACAATCACTTCCATAAGCTTTTGAGTTTTAAATTTTTCTCCCCTTCCCTTCCCACCTCCCTCCCCAAGACAAATCTGATATAGGCTATACATATACATTCCTATTAAATTTTCACATTAGTGATGTTGTAAGAAAGAATTAGAACCAATAGGAGGAACCACAAGAAAGAGAAAACAAAACAAAACAGAAGAAAAAAAGTAGTAAATAGTATGCTTCAATCTGCATTCAAACTCCATAGTTCTTTCTTTGGATGTGGATAGCATTTTCCATCATGAGGCCTTTGGAGATGACTTAGATTCTTGCATTGCTGAGAAGGGCTAAGTCTATCAATGTTAGTCATCACATAATATGGCTGTTACTGTGTACAATCTTCTCCTGGTTCTGCTCACTTCACCCAGCGTCAGACCATACAAGTCCTTCCAGGTTTTTCTGAAGTCTGCCTGCTCATTATTTCTTATAGCACAATAGTATTCCATTACATTCATATACCACAACTTGTTCAGCCATTCCCCAATCGAGGGGCATCCAAAAATTGAATTTAAAAAAATAATAGGGAGCAGCTAGGTGGTGCAGTGGAAAGAGTACCGGCCCTGGAATCAGGAGGACCTGAGTTCAAATCCAGTCTCAGACACTTGACACTTACTAGCTGTGTGACCCTGGGCAAGTCACTTGACCCCATCTCCCAGCCAAAAATAAATAAATAATATAAAAAGATTTTAAATAATTTTAAAAAGAAAGACAAGGTGTGTCAAATGGCTGTTCTATGGTTCAACCCACCATCCCTGTGACTCCTCAGACCAAAACTCCCTTCCCTGGCCACCATTCCTCTCTGTACTGTCTTTCTATTTGAATCTAATAAGCTCCTTGAGGGCAGTTTTTGTTTTGTTTTGTTTTTGCTTCAGTATTCCTAGCAGCTGAGCACTGTGCTTGTCATCTAATAAGCAGGTAAATATTTTCATTCATTCATACACACACAAAACACACAGATATTTAACACAAACACACAACCATCCTAAAAATGGAAGCACACACACATAATACACACAAGGTATTAGGCAGGCAGGGGTGGCGGGAACACTTGCTCTGGAGCTTGTATGTGAGTGGGGAAGTGGGAGGGGGGCAGGGGATTAAATGGGCTGAGGAGAAGGAAGCTGGTAGCCTCTCCTGCCTCCCCAGGTGAGTTCATTTGTACAGTGCTGTACCTGTCTCATCTGCTCCCATACTAATGAGGTGGCTGTGGGCACACCACAAGACACTGGAGGATAAAAGGAGGATCTAATGCTGTGTGTGATTTGCCAACAAGACGGGAAATAAAGGATACCAGTGCTGTATAGGAAAGAGTACTGGATTTAGAGGAGAATGACCTGGGTTTGAATTTCACTTGTGACCTTGACAAAATAACTTTCTGTCTGGGACTTTCATAATTGTTTAATTGGGGAGGGGGGTAGGTTAAATGATCTCTATGGTCCCTTCCAGTTCTCCATTCTAGGATTCTATGCCTTGGGCCAGGCCTTAGAGACTCCCACTTAGATGGGAGAGAACCTAGAACCAGAGGTCAGTTCTCTTTAGGCTCATTTCTAAATCCCTGTCTGTATAAAATTGTCTGTCCTAGATGGACACAGATTTTTAACATTATACTAAGTGGCACTGAGCAAGAGATCCAGATCACAAGTTAAAGGAGTGACTAAATATTTATTGGTCAAGGGTAAAAATCATTACAATGATTTAGTAGGGGAAAGTGGTAGACAGAAATCCTCCCACTGCAAAATGGTGCTATTTTCCTTCCCATTTCTATGCTTCCCATTGTACTGTGAAAGGTTCAAAGTACACAAACATTTTTAACATCACGGGATAGTAGAAAGAGACAGAGAAGGTAATGGCCCTTGCTTTTTTTTAGATGTAAGGGCATTTATTAACTGTGTGACCCTGGTCAAGTCGCTTAACCTTTCTTAGCCTCAGTTTCTTCATCCGTACAATGGGAATACTAAAAGCAACTATCTCCCAGAGTTGTTATGAGGTTCAAGTGTGATAATGTATGCAAAGCAATTTGCAAATTTTAAAGCACTACGTAAATGCTAGCTACTACCACTTGGGATGAAATATTTATGAAATGGCTTGTATACTTTCCTGTCTTCTTAAATATGGATACCTAACTTATGATGTGATTTGGGCCGTAAATGCAGGAGCCCTTCCTTCCCACTCCCACCTCCCTACCCTTCACATAAGCTCCTCAAGGACAGGGTATCTAATTTGTTTGTGTACATTCACTGCCCAGCAACGTGCCTTGGGCATGGTGGGTGCTTAATACCCACCATGTATTTATTGAATTCAATTTTCATTACTCAAAGTAATCATTATGAATATACAGTTCTGTGCATACCTTTTCTGTGAAGTTAGCTTTTCATTGTCTCTCTGTAACTGCTGAAATAGCTGAAAAATTCTCAGTCTGGCACTTGAAGCCCACCACAATCTACCCACTTTTCCAGAGATCCTCTTCATACCCAGCTAAGCTGGCATATTATTTGTTCTTGGAAGATCTAATAGCTCCCTGTAATAGCTCACTTCCACCTGCCCCCTTCTGGTTTGCTGCTTCTCAGTCTCTTGGGCTGAGAAAACAGAGTTGTTATGCTGTGGATCCTGGATCAAATTCAAATGATTTTCTTATTCGCTTAACCCCAATGTTGTTTTACTTTGAATGCTTGGGAAGTTCGGAAGCTGAGCAAAATTCCAGACGAGGGATTTTGAATACTCCCTTAAGGTTGAAGGGAACCCCTAGGGACCATTCCTAAGATATGTACTGCTTTATCTGGTTATGTTTCCCTAACAAATAAGGGACCAGTGGGGATAGGAAGGATGAGGAAGGGGGTGGGAGTGGGGAGAACTTCCTTATATGAAATGCATTTACAACTAGGATGAGATAATGTAAGTGAAAGTATATAAAGCTGCAATAATACCATCAGGGCTATCTCAGCTTGAAACCTCAGTTCTGAATGGGAGGGAGAGGGGGAATCTAAACACTGCCACACCCCCCCCCCCCCACTTGTTTTGTAGTCAAGTGATAACTACAGAGGCAGCTAGATGGCTCAGTGGATAGAGCACCACACCTGGAGTCAGGAAGACCTAAGTTCAAATCTGCCCTCAGACACCTACTAGCTGTGTGACCCTGAGAAAGCTACTTAACCCTGTTTGCCTTAGTTTCCTCATCTGGAAAATGAGCTGGAGAAGGAAATGGCAAACCAAGAAAACCCCACAGACAGTATGATCCATGGAGTCACAAAGAGCTGGGCATGACTGAACAACCACAACAGTGATTGCTATAAGATTCATACTATATCTCCAACTGATCAACCATATGTTAAGGTTAAGAGTAAGTAAAGCTCAAAGAAAAGATCAAAGAAACAAGTCTGGCTTTACTATGAAGGCTTTGTAAGAATTTGGGGCAGCTAGATGGTGCAGTATATAAAGCTCCAGCCTTGAAGTCAGAAGGACCCGAGTTCAAATCCGACCTCAGACACTTGACACTTACTAGCTGTGTAACCCTGGGCAAACCACTTCAACCCAACTGCCTCACCAAAAAAAAAAAAAAAATAAGAATTTAATTCAACAAACATTTACTAAGAGCTACTAAGTTCAGTATAAGGTACCTGGGGACACAAAGATAAAAAAGATGTTTGTCCTTAAGCTTATTTTCCACAAAGGAGGGGGGAAAGAAAGAAAATAAAAGATAACACAAGATAATTTGACGAAGAAGGGAGCACAATTGGTAGAATCTGGAAAAGGTTTCTGGAGGGAGTATCATGGGAGCTAATTCCCAAAGGAAGCTAAGGATCTTAAGTGGTAGAGGTGAGGAGGAAACACTTTCTAGGAACAGAGGAAGACCTGTTTAAAGGCATGGAGAAGGGAGATGGGAGGTGAGTATTATATCTTCCAGGAGCAAGTAATATGCCAGCTTACCTGGGTATGAAGAGGATCTCTGGAAAGCTGGGTAGATTGTGGTGGGCTTCAAATGCCAGGCTGAGAAATTTTCTTTTTTTGTAGAGGTAATAACCCCTGACTAGTTTTGGCACTCAGAAAACTTTCCTTACATTTTCCCTTACTTTTGAGGTTTGGGGATTTTCTTTACAGAG